CGATATGAAGATTCTTCCAGCCCTCCAGCGATCGCTCTACGTCAATAGCCCTGTCCGTGTGGTCTTGTCGCATCTCTGCATCGACTCTGTCGGAATGACGCTGGCGCCGACGCCCGAGATCCCGCATGTCGTCGGGACGCTTCTGGTCTCTTTGCCGTCAACGTACGAGGGTGGTGAGCTGATGTTCACCAACGGCACCGACACGCAGGTGCTGACAGCGTCACGGAAATTGGCGCAGCACTTTGCCTCGTTCAATAAGATCACGAGCGCGCCAATCACCTCCGGCCGTCGCGTGGCGCTTGTGTACGCCTTGACGTGCGACCCGCAGTCGTGGGTGCCGCGGGCAACCCGAGATGACGTCATCGAGGCATTTGCGACGATCGCGCAAGACCCTCCGAGTGACATTCAGCGCATTGCGCGTGCAGTCGACATGGACATTGGTCCAGAGACGCTCTGGATCAACCAGCTCGAGCGCGTCGACAAGGCGCTCGTCGACGTGCTTGCTGCGACAGGAGGCTATGACATTTCGCTTGTCGAATCGAGAGAACACGCGCCCCCTACGTACGACGCCTATGGTTCCGAGGACGACGCGTGCGACGACGACCCGTATTTCGAGTACGAAGTGCGGTATGAGAACCGCGTCACTCGCATCCAGAGCCTCGCCGACATCCCCGTCGCTGTGACCTCGGGTGTCATATGCAGGGGCGCCGACCTCTTCTTGAACGACGACGCTTCCGCCAACGGGTTCGCATGCCCCGCCACCGCGATTCTCTTCTGGCCCAAGCGCTGCCGCGTACCGATCGCGGGTTCGTCGCGCGCTGTCCCTATGCTGCGCGAGGCTATTCACACCGGTCAAATCGAGGATCTCTTTGGTCTCAGTCTCCATGACTTTGTGCTGGGAACACTGATGGCTTTTGACGTTGCTGCCAACAGCAGGGATGCAGTCGAGCTCGGGCATCTCTTGCTCCGGTACAAAGACGCCGAGGTACTTCAGCGCTTTCTCAAAGATACATTGCCCCTCTCGATTTTCGGGCTCACGGGACCGAATGGCGCCGCACAATGTATCTATGCGAGCTTGGATTCGCTTGGCTGGTCGACGCTGCTGCCTTCCATCGAGGGCCTCCTGGCGCGCGCGGCCAAAGCTGACAACACCAACGCGATCTGCCACCTCCTTGCCAGCTTGGCGGGCCTCGCGACGGAGCGTGACGCCGTGTGTCCGCCGCTGACGCAGCCATACACTGGTGAGTTTCTCAAGGCCTGTTGGGAGGCAGTTATCATCGAGTCCAAGTTTCGACCTGGTGACGCTCTGACGGAGCACTGTATTCTCTTGGATTGGTACTTTGACGATTTCCTGCCGACGCGTCCGGGCGACAACTACCTCGGCCAGTGGCTACCACCTCCGCTGCTCCTGGTCGT